GCTGATATATCTGGCTTAAAACAGATGATGTATGCTTTGGATAATTATCGTGTTGATACAGTATATCCATTGTAGGCCAAGGATGAGCTATTTACTAATTACAGTTCATTACTGATCATTAAAGCCTGTTAAACCTAATAGACTGCTTTCCATATGTGAAATATGAAGCATATTCCTCTGCGTTGGATGAAATTGTTTGTTCAGTTCAGCTCGTTACAGTAAAAACAAGTTTGTATTTCATATATACCTTATGGACATCCTACCTTATGTAGTATGCTTGGATCTACTCTACTAAAATGTATTCAGTAAGCTCACAGTAAGAAGCTCACCAGCAGAGGGATCTTGTCCATTACAGTGAAAAAGGTTCATTATTCAAAAAAGGGTATATGTTTACACAGTTCATCATTGTGAAAATGTGTAAATCATTTGTTTGGAAATTGAGGGATGGCTCTGAAGTAAAATTTGAAATGGAATATTTGAATAAGTGAACTCAAGGTGCAGGTAATTTTGATCAATACAACATGACTTTACCACACGACGATAGGATATATATTTATGGCCGACTGTCACACTGTTTTTAAGCATACACTATTTCTTGTAATATGCACTATGTACATGGCTTGTGCACACGACGTCAGGGTTCAGAGTTGTTAGACCTGCATATACCTGCATACCTACCTCGATTTCCCTTTGGGATCAATACAGTCTTATCTATTTATCTAAATATAGCCAGTGACTGCAGAAATCGAAATGAGGACCTCACATGGAGGACGTTGGAATTGCACCATGTGAATTTCTTTTCATTTTCACAATATCAATTGATGGCAGTGTAGGAAATTTCTAATTTCCTGATTGTTTTTGTGCTTAATACTGTTGTATGTTTCATATTTATTCATGTTATTTTGCTATTTGTCATACCGAGCATATCTTTTCTCATTACTTATTGATAATACCATTTTTTAATTTCTTTGCCAGATTCTTTGCTGTGCCCCTTCCAACGTTGCTGTGGACAACCTGGTTGAACGCCTGGTGGGGTATAAAGTAAAAGTTCTGCGTCTCGGACACCCTGCTCGGCTCCTGGAGTCGATCCAGAAGCATTCTCTAGATGCTATGCTGGCGCACAGTGACAACACCAATATAATTGCAGACATCAGGAAAGATATCGACCAGACTTATGTAAGCATGGGGAACAGAATCTGTTCAACAGGGCTGCCCTTACAGTGCCATCAGCAGTGTTTTTTAATATTGAAAGGTTTATTTTTCTGAGCTGCGACAGGTGGCCCACCGCATCAAGACTAATGGTAAGGAACAGTTACAAATAAGAAGAAGCCATTCAGCTCAGTATGCTCATTTGGCTGCTTGTAGCTTATTGATTTGAATGTCTCATTTAGCTAGTTCCCAGGGAACTGGCCTAGAAGAATTAAACACCAAATAAATATAGCATAACCTTAAAAAATATACAGTGGTGTGAGTAAAATTACCTTTAAAAAATCTAAATTATGTCGATTTCATTACCCTGGACAGTACTGAAAATACACAGTAAAAAATAAAAAGAATAAAAACACTGATGCTTCTCTGACACTATTGCGATATGTGCCACACAGTTTTCAAAGCAGAGCAAAGCAAGGCTGAAGGGTCAAACAGCCCTGGTGGAGACTGCATGACGTTTACTTCGCACTGGAACTTGATGCACAACTCGCTCTTTACACACGGGACTTAAACTGCACTCAACTCAGATTTTATCAAGGGACCCACGGGAGGTTTTTACTCAACGTCAAATTCGATCAAGTCGAATCTTGCATAACCCGGGAAGATTTCATTTGGTTTAAAGTACCTCTGAGAACAAGCTGGCTTTTCCTGACTTGTGGATCTTGTCATTTTCTTCCAGTGAGAGGTCTTTAACTGGTTTAAAGATCAGACTTTTTTCCACAACGCTGTTATAACGAAAGAGAAAATTCTCCTTCTCCCTTTCGGTTGTTAGGTCAGATGTTTTCTATATACTAGGCTTACGTTTTTAAATAGAGCTCTGTAACTCACGTTCTCTCCTGAAGCTGTTCTTTTAAATTCCCAGAAATGAAGAATAGCTGTGTATGATTCGAATTTCCACAGGAGCCTCTAATTTGCGCGTGGAAGTTTTTTAAACAGAAATGTCAGGGTTGGAGTTGAGAGGACATGGCCGCCCTCTTGTGGCTTGGGTGGAATTGCATGCCTCCTTGGCACAGTACCTTAGCATTTTCCCATTGTGTGAAGAATGAACAAGCCTCTACATCCCTTTCACAAGTCACTTAGTGCCTCATGATATTTTTCAAGTACCCTTTGTTATCTGGTTGTATTGTATTGCGCTCGTGTGTATTAATGTCTTTCTGCCTAGTCTTCAATGATATCTAAGTCTTTTTTTGTGTTTTCTTCGCTGCTTTTGTACTATTTGCGTTTTCTCTTTTTATGTTCTCCATCCTTTCTGTATAGGCAATCTTTGCCATAGGGTAGATTCCAATGACTAAGGAGCCAAGGAGGATTCTGTAGAATAGTCTGGACAGGGTGTAGCAGAATTCCTGAGGATTTGGTTCTTGTCATTAAACTATTAACTTAACTATTAAATCGGCTTTTATAGTGATGTTCCTTTAGACTATAAATACATTTGCAAGCTACTGCATAATGAGGTAAAAACTTTTCTTTACGAGGTTTTTAGTAGTAGTGCAAAAAATTTTATTTGAAAAGATTTTACATTAAAATGTCTTTTTTATCAGTATACCCTTAATGGCTAAAGTATTTTTTTTTTGGGGGGGGAGGGGGGAATAAGCAATATTATTAACAATGCAATAAAATGTTGGCAAACTGAAGTTTGGAGTTGAAAATCTGTGTTTTGTGCGTAAGGCGAAAATGAAGAAAACGCACGAGAAGAGCAGTCAGAGCCATTTGAGAGGAGAGATGAAAGAGCTGCGCCGAGAGCTGAAACAGAGGGAAGAGACGGCAATCACACAGATCCTCAAGGGTGCTGACGTAGTTCTGGCCACTAATACTGGTGAGTGAAACATTGGCCTTCTGCTGCATTTGGATAGAAACTATGGGTGCCTACTAGGCTAAAGGTACATTTCTAAAGGGAAGGGCTGGGTTGTGTTGATTAACATCAGGCTGGACTCGAAAGGTCTAGACTATTATTTTGAAGTTTTTCAGCTGAATTAATCATAAATGTTGCATAAATATGAGAGTATTCTGACCATGCTTGAAGATAATATCTTACTAGAAATTAAAATAGGTTTCTTCATCTGACTCAGCTGAGCTCCTATTTTTTATTCTAATGGCTGCCTGCCAGTTTATATTTTAAAGAGCTGAGAGTGTTTTGTGTTATATTTCTCCTTATGCTACAGCTGTAGCACATGTGCTCTTTTTCTGTGTTTCTGTAACCTGTCTCTTTAATAGTAGAAGTTGTCTCAGTTTTTTTGGTAGGTGCTTATTTGGTTCTGCTGCACTCATAGCATGAGATGCTTCTCTGTGGTTATTTAAGACCGATGAGAAGACATAACAGATCTTCCTGTAGAAATCTGCAGTTAAATCCTGATCTTCAGATTAATCATTTGAGCTATTAGTCACATTACCAACTGATCACTAGTGGTTGGTCAAAAGATTTTGAAAGTCCCTTTAAGTCTGACAGATTCTTGCATGGAGGTGATACACACACCTCCAGTTTTATAAATCACCTGGATTACAATTGTGATACCTGAAGGGTGGATGTTTTAAACAATCTGTTAAAATCGTTAGATTATTTCTGTAGTAAATACTGAAATTATTTTTGAAAATGTATTTATTCATTTATTTGTTAAATGTTTTTTTAAGACGGATGAGAAGGCAGAGCTTCCTGCAATTATGCGGTTATTAACAATCTGCAGTTAAGTTCTGGTGATACGTACATGTCCAGTTATAAACCACCTGGATTACACTTCTGCCAACAGAAGAGAAGGTGATTTCAACAATGGGCTGTTTTGAGCATTGCACTGTTTTGCAGGTGCCAGTGACGATGGTCCCCTGAAGTTTCTTGCAGGAGATCATTTTGACCTGGCTGTGATCGATGAGTGTGCCCAAGCCCTGGAGAGCAGCTGTTGGATCCCCCTGCTGAAGGTGCCCCGGTGCATCCTGGCTGGAGACTACAAACAGCTTCCTCCCACCATTAAATCCCAGACGTAAGCTCCCTTTTTCTTTTCATTTTTTACTGGAGAGTGGTGTGTCGGTAAACTTCAGTTGTACACAGACAAAGTAGGTAGAGCTGATCAATTTTTCGAATTATGCTCTGGACTCCTGCTGTCAGACCATGCTGTCTATTCAGTAATGTGCTCCTCTCGTTTTTTTGTTTATATGGGTGACTCTGTTAAATATTCTGTTATAGAATTAATTAAGAATTGTCCATTAATCATATTAATAAGAGCAAGTACATTATTATACATGTTATGTTTGAAGAGTCGGTGCATTTTTCTGTGGGGTCTCGCCTTCTTCAGAAGCAGACTTTCTTTTCAGCCAGCTTTGAACAAATGTTGACGGAATCAAACATATCTCCTTTTATAGAGGTATTTGTCTGCTTTTAACAAATGCAAGACATACAATGCAACCACACAAATAGTGTAACGTCACAGTTTGAATCATGCATTTAGGCTAAGTCTACTTGGGAAATGTTTTGCCTCTAAATGTGTGCAGGAAATCTTTCCATTATAAATGCTGGATTTGCGGGAATATCTAAAATTGTGCAACACATCTGTAACCCTGCAAGAAAATTTAGGTCCTGAGTATAATTATGTAGAAAATTGTTTAGACCAGCTTTGTTACTGAGAGTTTAGGAGGAGGAATGACCTGAAGTCTCTAGGCCGGGGGTGGCCAGTCCTGGTTCTGAGAAGCCACTGCTGAGCTGGTCACTCTTCACTGTGTGAAGGCTTGGATGATACAGTATATGACATTTGATCAGTTTAGGAAGTTAATTAGTTCAGTTAAGTCAGGAATAGCCCAGAACGTTGTCCTTGAGAGTGTTGTCATTTTCATCTGCAGTGATCGATAAATCTAATTAGAGCAGAACAGATTATTAATACCTGATACATTGAAAACAGCAGATCCGTATTCTTGGTTTTGCTTGAAGCTTCTGTAAAATCCCTCTCAAGCTCGACTGAGACTGTGTTTATATCCTCATTTTTAATGTTCGCCTTCACAGAGCTGGCCCCGGAGGCCTCTCTCGGAGTCTGATGGAGAGGCTGATTCAGAAGTATGGAGACCCGGTAGTGAGGATGCTGACAGTGCAGTACCGCATGAACAGTGCAATAATGCAGTGGGCCTCCCAGGAAATGTATGATGGAAGACTGACTGCTCACTCCTCCGTGGAAAATCACCTTCTGAGGTACGGTTATTCTTTGACATGCTAATTTACTTCTATGTTCTGCTTTTATTTATCATTCGTTTGTATCCGTAACAGATTGGTATGTTAATAGAATGTACTGTGTATTCTAACATACCTTTGAGTAAAGTAACCATCAGGAAGCTTGAAGTTTTACTAAAACTGATTTTTACCTCTGACCCCTGACATGACAAATCAAACTCTATCATTTAATTTTTTCATGTCCCGCAATATAAGAATAAAACATTGTTTATTTGCCTTGTATTTATGTATGTTGTAGTAATGCAAACTAAGACGGTCTGTTTGAATCTTTTTGGAATTTGGTACACATGTAAGTTGCTTTCACTTTGTAGGCTCCACATAAACCCATATATAACACAAAGGAAGAAACATCCTTTTTGAACCACTTTCCAGAAATGAAAATGAGTGAAATGCAAACTGTTTTTTTATTCTGTATTTTTTATTCCTTGGCTTGGCCAGGGATCTGCCAGGGGTGCAACCCACTGAAGAGACCAGCTGTCCTCTCCTGCTGATTGACACTGCTGGCTGTGGGCTGTTCGAGGTGGAGGATGAAGATGAACAATCTAAAGGCAATCAAGGTGAAGTTCAGGCTCAGAGCCTTTTAACTTTTACTTTATTGTAAATAGTGCAGGCGTTAGGGCTTCCAGAACTAAAACCTGGCTACACCCCCTCACCAGACAAGAATTGCAGCCTGTCCTTTCTCTGGTAACAAAAAAAATAAATGGGAATTGAAAATATGTCCTGGAATCATGACAATGCAGTATTACAGCTGCTTCACATTTGTTTTCTTCCAACATGCAATCTTTCCAAATGTCAGTCAGTACTTTATCTGGAAAGGCAAAGCCATCAGTTATGAAAACCAAATTGTGGGATTTAATTGTCCTGTTTGAAGTTGATATAGTCGGTGTTGTGTGTTGATATTTCTGCACATCATAAGCAGTCCTGTATTGGTCCCTTCAGCCGACTGTGCTTCTCTGGGAGCCTGTGGAATGTTGCTTCTAGTTTCCCATCTAGGGGGATCACCTCTGTATTCTGCTCCACAAATGATTTCATTGAAAGAGTTGCCCCCCCCTCCCCCCCCATTTTTAGTTCTGAAAAGGCTTGTTTTCACTTTTGGCTCTTTCATTTATGATGCTGTTTCAAAAGAATGTCCTATTAGATTCAGGTTAAACCTTTTCTGTTCTACAGGGGAAGCTGATATTGTGGCACTTCATATACAAACTCTGACTGAGGCTGGTGTCAAAGCAAAAGACATAGGCATCATTACCCCCTACAATCTGCAGGTGAGGGCACTATTCCAGTGCTATTCTATTTCGGTAGCTGGGATTTAATTATCAAATAGTTAGCAATCGCATTGTGATAATTGAATTTTTTTAATCTTGATATGGTTGTTTGAGTTTTCAGTGTAAAAGACATTCAGTTTTGTGCATCAACTTACGTAACATTTAGCAGTCACAGCTAGTAGAGGACCTTTCAGTCATATATCATCACATAAATTGAGTTTCTAATGCAATGGCAATGTAAGCTTTATATATGTACAGTATGTTACAGTAATCACATACAGTATATGTGCAGACGTGTCCTGGATAATCCACTACCAAGAAAGAGGAGAAGAACCGCTGCAGTGTCTCTGTCTGTATCCAGCCATTAGCACATGGCCCTGACTCCTGTACTTTTTGGCACCTGGCTGTTTAAAGATGGGGAAAACACTGTCAGCAGCCGCTGTGGAGGAGTGGTGGCAGTTCAAAACGTTTAGTTTTTATTCTCCACATAAAGGATATCTGAGCTGACACGTAAGCCAGGTCTGCTTTTGGTTGCTTTAAGGCACCAGAGGCATATTTCTGGCAACTGTGATTCTTTCTTGAGTTTTCGCATCTTTACTATTGCTCTAAGGTATTACTCTAACACAATGTTCTTGTTTACTGCTCCTTTACACACATCAGGACAGAGAGAATAATGTCTTATAAATTCTCCACCGTTTTTGCTAATCATTTCTGTTTCAGATGTATTTGAAACTGGCGGTTTAAGCGGTATTTGTACTGTTGTGCTCCGTGATTGTTCTACAGTGTTCGTGTTCCCTGGCAGGTGGACATGCTCAGACAACGGCTTTCTCAGAAGTTTCCAGACCTGGAAATCAAATCCGTGGACGGCTTCCAAGGCAGGGAAAAGGAGGCGGTGGTGCTTTCGTTAGTCAGGTCAAACAGAAAGGGTGAGGCCCCAGCTGGGGTGCTTTTTCCTGTTGAGTGATTAAAGTGAGAAACTCCCTACATCTTTCTTCTTGAACAGTGCCGTCGGTGGAACTGTGTCTTCCCGCTGCAGACCAGAGTCTCCTGTTGCGGTTTTGTACTGTACTTGCCACTATTGAAGAAATTAAGAAATGTGTTTATTGTTCTTCTTGAAATGCTGTAATTTCTTGGTCGTAATGTTTGTGTCAATATCATTTGATGTAACGTGTTTATATCATTTTACATACAGTGCTCTCCTGTATAATCCTATAGGGTAACTGCACACCAAATCAGTATGCATACTTTCTATGATATTGCCATTGGAAAGTCTAGACAGGAGAACTCATGTATGTTTTCAGTAGAGAGACACAGTGTTTCACATTATTTAACTAACTGTACTTATTTCCCTTGAGCTAAGGCACCTACGCATTGAACTTTATCATCTTTATTGGATGTCAGATTGTAAAGGAATTGGATTTACAGGGATATTTAATAAAAAAGTGAAGAGGAGTCCTTAGAAACTCAGTCACTGGTTTGATACTATAATCACTTAGCCTCAAATGTTTTCAATGCAACTGATCCTTAATGTACAAAACTAGTCTGCGCCCTGGTGTTTTCTTCTTTCTTAACAGATGAAATACTTCTAGCATGCTAATGGAACTGTGTTTTGCCTTTGCAGGGGATGTTGGGTTTTTGTCCGAGGACAGAAGGGTCAATGTAGCCGTAACCCGTGCTAGACGCCAGCTGGTAGTGGTGTGTGACTCACAAACTGTTTGCCATCATGCTTTCCTGAAGGCTCTTGTGGACTACATAGGCGAGCATGGGGAGGTACGGACAGCTTTTGAGTATCTCGAGGACGTAGTTCCTCAGAATTACTCCCATGAGCTCTCTCAAGGTGCACAAAGAGGAGAAATACAGACCAAAGAGTCTTCTAAGACTCAGACTACTAAGAAACATACGGGAAAGAGAAAGGAAACAGAAAACAGAAAGGTCCAAGGCCAAAAGCAAACAGCGATGAACAGTGTGAGTACCGGAAAACCAAATCATCGTGCTAAACAGGATGGTGACTCGTCCACACCTGTGGAAGAAGAGCAAAAGAGAAAGAGCTATGAGAATCTAAGAGAGAAAATACTAGAGTTTTTGAGGGACACAGAAAAGGCTTCACTAGATTTTCCACCATCCTTAACCTCACATGACCGCCTGCTGGTACACCAGATCTCTGAGGAGCTGGGCTTAAAGCATGAGAGTACAGGAGAAGGGAAGGAAAGACACATCACTGTCACCAGAGCAGGGACTCAGCACACACACGCAGAGGCTGCTGGGGCAAAGGAGTGCCGTTTCCTATCCTCCGAGACCCTTGTCAAGCCATCGAGCGAGCAGGGTTTGCAGAAGGACGTAGACGTGGCACAAGTAGATCTGAAGGCATTGCACTTGGAACGAATGCAGCGAGAGCAGGCTAAAAGGGAAGAGAAGATTCGGCAGAACAAAGGTCAGAAAGCTGCACAAACTCCGTCTTCAAAGAAGCCCAAACAGTCCACCAAAGGTGGGTGAAGCACGGCTTTGCTAGCAGATGTGAAACAGTTTACTATGGATTTGTTAGTATTTGAGAATATCTGAGTACAACAAGAAATGTTTCATCACTGATTACCCACCATAAAACACCTATTGGAGCTATACGATAGTGTAGTATTTTTTCTGCATTTCTGCATACCTCCAAATAGAATGTATGCCTTTCTGTAAGAAAAGTAATCACAAAGGTGTAAAAGATGCTGAGTGTTATTAGCTTCTGTCAACCTTCTAAATGAGTGTAACAGATAAAATTGTAAAAGCAGTCTGAATAGCACATGTGAGCTGTCAAAAGAACACTTTGCATCACGTCTCTGGTTTACAGTGTCACTGCCAGAGCACAACTTCTAGAGTGACAATTACTGATAGTTCAACCGAAGCATAACCAACGTAGTGAGGATGAAATTGTGCCTGACAGGAGTTTGCAGAAAAGACACATTAGTGATGCTTATCTCTGATGCCATTCTGAACCTACCATTTGCCTTCAACTTTTACCATTCCAGGAAAGGACTGCTCTCAGGGCCAGGCCTCAGCCATTGTTGCTACCAGTGACGATTTCGATGCTCTCATAGATGCTGTTGTGAAAGCAGACAGTGTCTGTGGATTCTCCAAGTGTAAGGCCAGTGTACTGACATTGGGGCAGATGTGTTCTTTCTGTAACAGGCGATACTGTCTGAGTCACCACATCCCAGAGGTAAGATTTTGCTGCTATAAATTTGTGGTATATGTTGCAATGAATCACAATGTTCTGAAAATTACTGATTCAATAATGGTCCACTTATAATGGACAGTTCCATTTTCTTATGAAATGTGTATAACATAGAATGTGATGAATTTTGACAATGTGCGATTGCTAATACTTAGTATTGT